TCAAACTTAGCTCCGCGTGAATAGGCACCAACAAGTGGCGGCCATGAGGCCCCGAGATTGGACTTGGAGACTGGTCAACCTAGTCTCGATCTTGTGAACATCATAGAATCGGTGGTTTCGCCGGACTTGAATCTTAACAGGCCAAGACGCGCAAAATACCCAATTTAAAAGACACCCAGAACGTTCTCAACATCACCCTCGTTCATACTACTTCTAAAAAGGCGGATTAATAAAAGCTTATCGCGCCCCGACCCTGGATTAGAACTTGACGCTTCCCAGTACTCACGCCCGCCGAGAAATGGAACATCAGGAATTGCTTTCCCAAAACCTGTCGAGACGTACGAGTACCCGACAAACTGGGGAAAGTACTTTACAGGAAACGGCCAAAAGAGTTGTTTCTCCCCGTTTAGGCCCAAGCCTTCTCCGACACGGTGTGACCCGAACGGTTTCCACGCGGTAGGGCTACCTTTCTCTGTCTAAAAGCCGCTGGAGTGCCAAAGAGAACCCCCTTTTTCATATCAAAGTAGCTCAAGCCTTATTCCCTCCAGCTCTTAACTGGCATCACAGGGAGCGGAAGTTCCGGGAGCATCAAATGCATCTCCCTCTGCAAGGGTGCTGGCCGACTGACATACTCTGAAAGGTGCACCTCCCCAATTTGACCAATGTCCGCCTAAACAGCATTGAGGGGCAAAGTGCAGGAAGTATCATCCTGACTGTTCGTATCTCGCTAGGTCGCTTTTGTTCCTGGCATCCCCCAAGCCCCCACCAGGGGGTGGGCGTGTGCCAAACAGCAGGACGGGTCTTCGAGGGGCTAGAACGTATTATGCGCAGAAAATTGCAGGAACGGCCTTGCGGTTTCTGGGATTGACCCTAGGTTAGGTATCAAGGTCAATTAATGCTCCTTCCAGGAATATCTACCCCGCTCGAAAGTGTTCAGGTCATGACGTCGGGGGACGAAAGGAAGGAAGGGACTGGTCATGACCTCCTCCGAGTGTCGGTGTGCTCGGTCTGGTAGTTTTCCACCAAGTCGAAGGTCCCTCGCCTGAACTTCTTCTTCTTCTTCTTCTTCCCCAGCCGTCGACAAAACGATTTTTTTTTTTTGTTTAGAAAAAAGGTTTTTAACAAAAATGGTTTCATTCAACAAAATTTTCCCGTAAGTCTACCAACCAGATCGTCAATATTCAAACTCGTTGCTTCGTTCGGCGCCGGTCATTCATCTGCTTCGCGCTCACGCCCTCTTCACTGTTCTATGCTCCCTTGATCCGCTATCTTCTCGATGTCCTCTACAGAATCCCTCTCCTGTCTCGTTGGTTTTGTTTTCGCCGCTTGATCCTTTGCTGTTTCAAGGATGCACGTCCGCATTGTTTCTCCAATCCTGCCATTCCAGTCGACTGTCTTTTCCGAACTGTTGGACTGTCCTGTTTTTTTTTTTGCTTATCCCTAGCTCGAAGAAAGCTGACTCAGCGTTAAAAAGAAATATAAAAGACTTCTCTGCCCTCGGCGCCGCCATGAAGAAGAAGGAGCCCGACGTCGAGGCCGAGTAAGAACAATATTGCTTCCGTTTCTTCACATGGCGCAGTCAGCTAACACGAATGACAGGGCCGGCGCCGCCACCACCACCACCGAGCCCCCCACCACCATCGCTGCCGCCCCCGCCACCGACACCCCCACCACCACCACCGCCGGCCCTACCACCACCACCGGCACCCAGACCGATGGACCGGTCCCCCCCGCCGAAGACGTCTCTCCATAGAAGAAGCAGGCCAAGCGGGCGGCGGCCGTGACTTCCCTGGCGGCGGCCCTTGCAGGGGCGATTTTTGAAGCTCTTACTTTTTTCAGAAAGTATTAATCAAAGTATATTGGGGGCTGGGCTGGGCGTTCCTTCTCTTTTTCTTTTCTTTTTTTTTTTATTAGTATTCATTATTAAATAAAAAATCATTCAGGAACGGGTATTAACCGAGAGCAGAAGTTGGTGAATGATTTCTGTGCTACACTGCCTTCTTCGCACGCTGATATTCCCTGGCGGCGAAGGTCATTGCCGTATGCGACTCCCCGCCGGTATACCATAACCCTCTTAAACGTCCCTGGCCCCGTTCGCTGTTCCATGTCAGCCCTTTGAATGTCGTTAGCGGATGCAGATAAAATCTAGGTGAACCGTAGAACTTACGAGATGATCGGCCAGGACTCCATCAGATCCCATAAGTCCGTATTCACAACCTGTTCACGGTCCCAACCTTTTACGAAAAACCAACCCGACCAAAGGGCAGGCTCCCCGCGATGGCAGAATTTGCGGCTATCCGCGAACCGCCCCTCGGGATCTCGCTGCAAATTCTCATCTGCTCTTACCCTTGACGTCTGCTCCGCGTCTTTCCACGGAACTGTCTCTTTCAGCCGGGTCGGTAAATCTTTAAAATAAAATGTTCCATGGCCTGCCTTGTGCCCAAAGTTGTCAAGTGAGAAATACACGCAGAGTGTCCACTCCCATTCCTGCGTCCAATCATAGGAGAGCTCAATATAGTTCGCGACCTCTCCAGGTCTGATGCCGTGGTGTATTTGTATTCTCAAAGGAGGATAGTCGAGGTAGGTATGTGTAGTTTTCCGTACGCCCTTTGCCGCGGCCAAAGCATTCGCTAGTCTCCGATAGGTGAGGGTCTTCTTGATACCTCGGCCTCGTATCGGTGAGTATGGTTGAAGTGTAGGAGCGGGCATGTTCTGGCTGAAGATGTATAATTTAAACCCAGTTGGTATATAAGTACGGCTTGGTATTGAGGCCACCGTCGGAAAGTGGAGGAAAATTGCTCGCGCGGCCATGCGTTGGCTCTCCATACGTGTGACAAGAATATCAGTCTGGATGGGAGATAGTTGGGGAGGGTCCTTTTCAGGGAGGTCGCATTGGCATGCATTCTCCTCATGAACAACGGGCGTGCTTTTGGAGGTGTCCGAGAGCGCCTGCTGCTCAGAGTTTGCTATTCCAGAGGCCATTTTTGGATTAGGGAGTATTCGGTAATGTTGGTCTGCAGGAAGTCGCTATGACAGCGAAGGAAGCGGAGACAGTTGTAATGGTGTTTCCCTTCAAGTTTCACGAACCATGCTCTTGACGCCGTTTAAATACTATACAGCTCCATATCACATGAAACAACCCTCAGAATCAGCATGTGGTTATTTTCTCCCTCAAAGCTAACACGAAGCCCATTATCGAAACCATTCGAGACTAGTGTGACAACTTTTCAGCCATCTTAGAGCTAAATTGAGAGGGTGAACGTGAAATACTGAGCGCTATGTAAAAACACCACCGTCAACCTTGTTTCTCACCTTCGTCGGGGTTGCCATGTGCTAAAAGTGGGATAGGCATCAATGCCATTGCGACGCGGATGCTCGTGATTCCATCCATTTAGCGAGTTAGCGGCACTATATATCAACGGTAGGCGCACGTGTCAACAAAATAAACGATGATACGAAGTTCCGTCTTCCTCTGAGAAGCGGCTTCTTGCGGAAGGCCGCTGATTCCCGTCCGTGGGGGTGTCCATGAATGTGAATAGCCTTCCCTGGTATTCTACTCAGCGTATCACGCGTCATTTTTGTTTCTGTAATAGATCTGACTATTGATATAATCGTTTTACGGGGATTGATATCCCCTTTCCCAGTGGCCTTCGGTGTCATCTTGATGAACTGAACCCGTTCTCAGTCTCTGAAGAACGAATCTGGATTACATCCATGAGAAGCGAGCTTATACAACCGTTACACGACTTCATTTAATTATATCAGAGATTTGGCGGAATTCCGCCGTATTCTGCATGTCCGACGCGGTGAGACCATGATTTATGGAGCCAGGTGTTTCTCATGCCCTCGAAGCTATTTACGTATTTTTTTTCTTCTTCTCCCTAAAGTTATTCCCAACAGTAATATCGATACACTATCTAGATCGATGAGTCTTCCTACCGTCTTTGTCTGCGGCGCAACCGGCACCCAAGGCGGCGCCGTCGCCCGCCATCTCCGCGCCAAAGGAGCAGAAGTCCACACCCTCGTTAGAGATCCCTCCTCCCCAAAAGCCAAGGCCATCGAGTCCCTCGGGGTCAAAACTTGGCATGGAGATTTCGACAACGAAGACGCCCTCAAGAAGGCTATAGCAGGCTGTTCTGCCGTCTTCCTCAACTTCATGCCTGATTTTACAGATCTTAGCGCCAACCTGCGCCAGGCCAAGTCCATCCTTTCGATAGCGAAAGACGCGGGTGTGAAACATGTGGTCTACACAAGCGGTTTCGGCCCTGGCGTCGCCGAGAAATCGCCAAGTTGGGATCCGGAAGGTATCATCGCCCTGATACTCGCCTCAAAGAAGGATATCGAGGCAGAGACTCGTGCCTCTGGACTCAAATGCTGGACCATCTTACGCCCGGGAAATTTCATGGCCAATTACATCGACCCATTCGTGAGGATGTACGGCGGGCTAGTCGAAAAAGGAATGTGGTTCACGGCACTCAGCGAAGAGACTGTGCTTCCCATGGTCGACACCGAAACCATTGGCGCTTTCTCGACGGCGGCACTGCTTGATCCAGAAAGGTTCCACGAGAAAGAGATCAGCTACGCCGATGAAATGGTCACTCTTGGATATATCTTGAAGAAATTGTCTGAGGTGACGGGGCGCGAGTTGCAAGCTGTAACTCTGTCGGAGGATGAAATTCAGGAGCAGAGCAAGACCAACAAATCCATCACAGCCCAGCTGGTCATGCGGCATATGAGTGACCTTGTCGATATTGAGGAGGTGAAGAAATGGGGAATCCCGCTGAGTACATTTGATGCGTTTGTCGAGAGGGAGAAGGCTCGTGTTCTAGCCACTTATGTCAAGTCATCCTAAGAAGCAACAAGACGCCTAGCAGGAGCAAATATGAGATTTTCAAAAGCTTATCAGTAGGGGGTATATTGCAACTAAGCGAGAGGGTCAACCTTGTTGAGATAAACGTACAGACTATCACAGACGTGATAAGGTAAATCTCAAAGCTATTCTACTCCTCCTTTCCTTTTCCAGAGACAGTTGCCTCAATACCCTTGGTGACCAACCATTTGGCAAGCAAAACATGCAGCCATCCTCCAATAGTTGTTTCAATCATGACTGACTTGGCATCCTTCTTCCTCCACATCCAAGTCTCGTTCACAAACACGACTTCATCGCCAGATCCACCTTGTACCTCCTCAACGGCGGCAATAATCAAAGCGCCAATACGCTCACCCTTGTAACTGGCCGGCGGGTCGCCGATACACTCAATCCTTTCGGACGCACGGCCCAGTCCCTTTGGCGAACCGCCGCGATGCGTGACCCTCCAGATACCGTTGGCGACATCTCCGACATTAAAAGCAAGGTTATTGATCCAGTCGGCGTCAAAGGTGCGCTTAACTTGGGGTTCTTTCATCGCTTTGCGGATGAGCGATGCCTGCGGGGTGTGGCTGAAAGCGATTTGCACAGCACGTGAATACGCCGTCAGGAGGTCAGATGATTCCGTGGATGTGGGATCCTGTGATAGAGCGGATGCGGTGTACTTGAGCGAGCTTAGTTTAACAGGATCCGATGTGATTCTTTCGTAGGCAAGAACCCAGTCCGAGTCGTCGGCTGCCACATCCTCTGGCAAGGAGACGGGTTTCGGGATGGACGAAGGGATGGCGGCGATAAACGAGCCTGATGGCGCGCGCGCACGGCGTCCCGCTGTAGAGGAGGTGGATTTGGAGACGCGCGCATTGAGGATGAGGAGGTAGGTTGTCGTCGCAGCGACGGGGAGCAGGGCAAGCGCTGCTATCGTCACCCCAGTTGACGGACGAGACAGAGCGAAGACCATTCTCAGTCCGCCCTTAAGGGGACATAAATTAGGCTAACCGGTAATATTTTTGCAATTTTGTATGAAGAGATGTAGGATGAAGATGGGATCGTGAAACGCAGGATGTTGAGAGGAGGATTGCAGGATAGAATATAAAGATGACGTTAATCTGCTGATTATTTTTATCGGAGACTCTCGTGACAAGTTTAACTATCCCTGCAAACTAGTGTGGTTGATCGGCTTGGCAGGGATGGCAAGGGTCACATTCGTTTATCTCGCATTGATGAGCGGCGCCAATGTAAGCATAACATTATTCTCGAAGCTCTCGGAGAATATATTGCTCCGTATCGAACAAACCGAAATGGGAAAATCGCGACAGAACGTGTTCGAATGTTGAGAATAAACTAGGCATTTTAAGGTATTAATAGATCAGTCTCACTCAATGTGAGCAGACTCCAAACATTACTTCATGTCGACCACGTCAAGCATCTCATCCCGATAGGGAGTAGCGCATTTAGTTGTCTCAGCTTTCCTCAGCCGCAAGAATCTAAAACTGAATATCTCAAGTCTCTTGAACTTTACCGTCAGCCGCAGTCTCGTCAGTAATAAAGCCTAGGCCTCTATAGAGATCTCCGGGGAAACGACACCAACAAGGGTTTCAAAAAACGAACACGACTTAGATGTTCACAATTAATTCAATAGAACTTCCTGGCATTTAGGAAGTCCCTTGAGCGTAATAGACAAAGAGGAATTCATCCCCAGCGCGCACACAAGCTTTATAGTTACTATGCTGTGGTAGTACTCCTTTTCAAGACCTTAGGAATCCTCGAGGTAAAAGAAAAACTAAGATCCCTTCCCTGCATATGCTATATCTTTGCTTCGGGAATCGTAGCTATCGGTAAGCGCGTCACGAACCTCTTGTGGCTGGACGTCATCAGTGGCGTGGCAACGCGCGGCGATAGAGGAATTCGATTTGTTCTTCTTATTTCGTTTTGACTTTGACTGCGACGATGAGCCACCAACAGGTTGAACGTAGAGTCGGTGAATCCATGGGTGCTCGGCGGGGTTGGTGTTCAACTTCGATTGGAGTGTAAGATTGAAGACCGTGGTCATTGTACAGGGACGGGTAAAGGTCAAGAGTGACTTACGCCCTGGTGGTCCAGTCTGTACCCATTAGTATAGTCTGTCGCGATAGTATACTCGCCCGAGCCGAAGTTCTGGAGCTTCTCATCAGGAATGCCATCCAAGAAGGCTTGAAAGATCTCTTTATGTCCCACAGTGATATAATTATGACTGGATTGTATGTGTCTGAGGAAGAACAAGAACGGGAAAAAGGGCCTAGAAAACATCAGGGAGTCCAGGCCCTCAATGTAAAACTGGCCATCTTGTCCCAACGCGTCCCACAGGAAGTCCTCCATCTTTTACAGTTCATGGTCACATAGCACATTTGCAGGGTGGGACGGTTGCACATTCGGAGATGGCGTTTTGTGATTGGAATCTCGACATCTCACCTACATATCAGTGTCACACAGATTGTGATAATAAATTGTTTTCCCCCACTAGGCTGCAAACTATTCCGTGGGATTGATCCGGTCTCTGAGAACCCCACTGCTAAAAGGCACATTGCCGCTCGTTATCAACGATATATTTCTATCTCAAACCCTGTTTTGTGCAGCGTGCCTCTTTCTAATTAGCTGTGGGTTTTCAAGATTAGCTGTGACCTAGCTTCTCGGTGACCTTTGGCCTCGAGGATGTTGGACGAAGACACCATGTACGTGGATGTGATGTCTGGAAGCGTCGTAAATCCTAACGGCCAGACCGTCATGCCGTGCCCCGTCAGGGAAAAAAAAATTTATGTACGACGCTGTGGTGAGGGGGGAAAGGGCCAGGAGTGAATTGCCGCCCTTGTGTAGCCTTCAATTTCTCCTTTTTCTTTTCAATGGTTTGTTTGTCTCTCCCTCTGGTTTAAACTTGAGGTGGTCGAAAAGTCACATGGCGATCTTGCATATACATAGTTGTTATGCATTTAAGCGTCACTCGAGAACACAACTTCAGGTCCCTCATCCCAGAGTCCAGAGGACAAACCTCTCTCCAAACCCCTTCCAAGCCTTGCCTGTTTGCTCAACAAGGTCGCGATCCTCAAATGCCAGAGCCCACGGAAACACCATGGCAGATGTACCTGCCAGAGGACAGACTCAAATGGACCCAAACTGCCGACCCAAGTCCTATCTGGCCTTTTGAACCCGACGTCGACATCATCAGAAACATCGTCCAGTCCTCTATACCAACTGAAGGAGATGACCCCGGAGACCAGATCCGCTGTGACTTCCTTGCTGATGGAGCCCACCATAAGATCTACAACGTGACACATCCTTCATGGACCACGCCCTATCTCTTCCGTGTCGCGATTCCCGTGGACCCCAAACTCAAATTGGAAAGCGAGATGGCGACGCTGCAATTCCTCCGCCAACATACCTCGATACCAGTCCCGCGCCCCATTCGTTGGTGCTCAACCCGCACTGTAGATAACAAGCTCGGGTATGAGTGGGCTATCCTGGAGAAACTGCCGGGAGTCGAGCTGAGAAAAGTATGGCGGAAGGTCCCCTGGGAGAAGAAGCTGGTGCTCATCGAGAATCTTGCCAAGTTCAGGACCCAAATTTGGGATTCAAGCCTCAAGTTCTCCAAAATTGGATCCATTTACAAAATTTCGAACGATGAAACACGTGAAGGGGTCCGTATCGGTCCGTCTGTAGACGGCAATTTCTATGCAGGTCGCCGACGTTACCTGACAAGTGATCGGGGACCCTTCTCGACGTGCCACGAGTGGCTCAGGGCTCAGATTGAGATTGAGCGAGAATTTCTCCGCACCGCCAAGATTCTTGCCAACTCTCGTCAGTCCCTAGGTCGTACCACCAGCGACGCAGAATGGTCCGACTTAATGGACGAGATTGGCGTCGACCAAGATACGCTGGAAGAGTACGATGATGTGATGTCACTATGCGATATTTTCTTGGAGCTTCTTCCGGTATTGTTTCCCCTCCCGGATCAACCCACAGGAAATCAAGATCGATTCTCCTTGCATCACTGCGACTTACGCGAAGCCAACATCCTCGTCGATCCCGACACGTTCAACCTAACAGGTATAATCGATTGGGAGCAAACGTGCACTGTACCAGACTGGTACGGCCGAGACTACCCAATGATGATCAACACCGATGAGCCCTTTGACGCCGAGGAACCCTCAATCCCAGAGACGTATGATGAAGAGGATGAAAGATACAACCCCGCCAAGGTGTCAAATCGGGACCGATGGGATAGCAAGCTCTTGCGCGAGAAGTTTGACGCGGAGCTGGTTCGTCTTGGCTGGGAGGGCTGGCACTCGTCCTCGCGGCTTGATATTGTCAAGTCAGAATTCATCCAAGGAGTTGCCGACTTGAGTGAGTTTCCAGATCGGGCCAGGTATCAGCTCACACTTGTTCAAAGGATATTGGCAGAGGAGTCATCCTCTTCTTCGAAAGTAACTGCCGTGGATTTAACCAGACGACACATACACGCAGAAAAGGACCTCAAACTGGTGGAGGCCCTCCCCCTCGCCAATGCTGTCAATCAGCAACCTATCGCTGGTGTGAACCATATCAACAAGCTCTCCATCTCTCCCCGTGAGGTCGGCATCCTTTCGGAAAACAGTTCCGCCAAGAATTCACTACCTTAGTGAAGTGGGCAAGATTTGACGAGATACTGGAGCTGTGAGGCTAGGTTAGCTGGTCTAAACTCCCGTCAACCATCTTTTCAATGTCGCATTCTAGGCGGTTAAACTCTAGTTATAACTCTAAATTTGAGCGTCCTTAGGCCACATGATGGCACGTCGGATGTGTATGCATATCAGGCTGGTGCACCGTGGCACACTCAAATGGCAGTTCCCCCTAAGACTTAGAGAGAAAACTACCCGTATCTGTATCTCAAGTCTTGCCTGCACCGCCGTTACAGACCCAGGGGCATCAGTAAGCGAGGGGGGTACTGGTTGGACCGAATGCCTTTCGCCAGCGGGCGATATCTAGGGCAGCCGCGCCTGTATGTAAAAGGCCCGGTATTGTTTCATTGATCTGTGACTGGGTTTCGAAACTCATCCGTGCAACTCTAATTACATTTCATACTTTGAATATGTGCTGATTGTACTTGATCAAAAGACTGATTTATTCTCGCATGACATTCTCCCCGGCCATAACAGGGCAGCGGTGTCATGCTTGATAGCGACCTTCTCCGTCTTCTGTCTCGGCTAGGGAAGGAACTTTAAGCATCACCCAACTTATGTACGGACAATCACAGTCCCTCAATCACACTGGGCAGCAGGACGTTATTGTACTCCCACAAAACAGTGGCGAAGCCCGCAGAGAAAGCGGCACCAGTGTACCAGGTCGAGCGATGGCCCTGGAGGGCAAGTTGCTTCTGGATGAAGCCGGCATTAAGGTCCTCAGCAGTGACGCGTGGATGCATCTTGCCGTGGTTCGCGAAGTAAGGGAAAGTAAGAGAACCTTCAGACTCGGGAATGGTGCCCGCCTCAATCATGATCTCGATGGACTCGGAAATGAGGGCCTGCATACTCTCTGAAGTGTCCTCTTCAGTGCCGACAGCTGTGAACTGGAACAGGTCCTCGGTACCGCCGATGTAGTCGATGCGGCCGACCTGGGAGGCGGTAGGGAAGACAGTGTAGTTGCTGTATCCCGTGGTTGGGGACCTGTTTGAGTATCCGGTGCTGTTCTGCAGCGACGGGTGTCGGAGGAGGCCAGCGTAAACGGTGGCGAACTCGAACTTGTCGAAGACTTCCTTCTCGGTTTGGTCAGGATGGAATGGCTTCAAGTTCTCTGGGGTGGGCTCGAAGGCAATCAGGAGGCGCTTGGCTTCAATACAAGCCAGCTCCCCATCACCAGTCTGCACCTTTAGCGAAACGCCCTTCTTGTCATGTCGAGTCGCTGAGACGACGGTGCTCGAGTACAGGACGTCGTCACCCAAGAATTCGGCGACAGACTCAAATAGGTCATACAGGCGGCCTGAGGGCGGAACGGCTGCGGCTGCGGTGCCCAGCAAGGCTCGGACCATGGGAACTCCGGACGCCTGCATGATGAACAGCGTAGGCACGTTCATGGTGTCTCCAAGGCCCATTGCTGTAGAGTCCCATATCTGGGGGACAGCGGCCTCGAGGTTGTATTTCTCCACGAATTCCCCAAAAGGCATAGTCAGGTCCTCTGGGATAGACCCGGGTTCGGGAAAGTTAGAAAAGCCTGGCAGTACCATATCTTCGTATTTCTCGAGGACATCGAGGTACCGCTGGAGAGCGGCATACATGTCGTCGGAGGCTGGTGCAGTATAGTCGGGGACGGGTATTCCCGTCTTGAAATCCACATACTTTTGGTCAAGCGTGGTGAACTGCATCGACCCGCTCGTCGACACATTCATGCGTTCCACAAATTCGAAGGCATTCTTGTACTCCATCCATGCTTGAACCCCAATGTTGATTACCTTTCCTGTCGCCGGATCGTCGTAGAAAGCCGTGTGACCACCCTAGATTTCCGGGTACCTGAGAATCAGTGACAACGGCACCGAAAGCAGCTGTTGCAAGAGCTTGGACAGAAGCGCACTCGAACCAAACTGGTAGGCATAGAAGGAGGGAGGGTAAACTCACGAGCTGGGCCGCCTTTTCTACCACGACCACAGACCTGCCATGGTCCCGCAACCATACGGCAGCGTGAGCACCAGACGCGCCGCCGCCCACTACAACAACGTCGCGGGAAATGGTATTCCGACAGCATCCGGAGGAGGCCGCGATACCTTGCATGAGAACCGCGACCACGAAGCTCACCCGTACACTCCCCTCCAGCAACATGGTGCTAAGCATTGTCAGCTAAGGGGTGCCGTACGTCTTGTGTTCTGAGAAGTATAAGAGGATTGTGTGGATTTGCAGACGATCGCTATTCTTAAAGAGATGGATCCTACGATGCGGACGACTCGGGGGGACACTCGGGAATTTAAAGACCTGATCGGTAATCAACACGCACGGTATCTTCATTTCCCCCTCTGGCTCATAGGGCTAAAGGCCTTTAATAAAGACAGTATATAAGCCCGCCTTGGCGGGAAGAAACAAGCATGGAGAACGATACCAAGCTTCGTGTATTCGGACTTCGGACTTATAAGCCCTACGAACAGGCGGTATAGTTGTATTAGTACATATATATGCGTCACGTAATTGACGTGGCAAGGTGTACCTTTACCGTTTCATTTTGGAGTGCTCTCGAATTTGCGTCCGGTTCCTACTGTCATCGTACCACACCCAGGACTAGACCCCGCCCGTCCTTCCTTCAGAGTACAAACCGCAAGCATTTTAATTTATGGTTGTTCGCTTTCAAATATATTAGAAGGATGTGCGTATCCAGTTGTTTCTCCCCGACAGGCGGGGATCGGCCGTTATTCCCGGAATGCATGGCTAGAAGTAAACTAGATGGAATAATCAGTTCAAACACGTCGTCAGCGCAAGGCGATTTCTCGCACCATTAGCAAGGTAAAAAGCAAATGGCCGCGATCAGCAACTACGAAATGTCCTCACCTCGTCTCAGTGCCTCACAAGTAGTACAGTTGGAAAACTGGAAATTCAAGTATAGGAATTATTAGAAATTGTCCTCCTTTTGACGTTCTCTTCGATCAACGATATAGCTCGGTGACGGGAAATGAACCAGATAACAGAATGACGACGTTTTACTCACGAGGGCTACTGTGTGCTGAAGGGTGGAGGTACCAATTGCACCGCGTCACACAATGCGTGCCAGGTACGGTCCCGTCCACTCCCTTGCCGCCCCCAAGCGTCTCCAAATCTTATCCGGCTTGTCTTAGATTCTCCTGCTCAAGGGGATCCGTGAGATTTAGTTCATACGAAATCAAGCAGTGTACGGGACGCAGCTTCCAATGTGCAGATAGCGCCCACGCCACAGCAATATCAGATACTAGACTCGAGGTTGAGATTGGGGATACCTCATGTCCATTATGCTAAGGTATGCGGCTCCCATTCCAGACCCCTTCGGGTAGGTTCAAACAACGGAAGGAGAACTCTAGTGAGCTAGCCATCCAGAAGGGAATCAATGTGAACAAACTATAGCGATATGGATTACAGGTCGCGTCAAAATATACTGATATCAACAGAGTCTCGGGATTATAATGCTTGATGCCAAAGTTATGCAGACTAATTATGCAAGTGAACACTCGACTGTAACATGGACCTTTATTATCCAACCATTGAGTTGTCTGGGACTTCAAGTTGAAAATAGGAGCAATAACGCACGAGGTGGATATAACAACGGGAATTTATAATAAGGGGATTGGATTCGCTATTAAAAGCGGAGCGAGAGCACCTGGACTGAGACTCAACTCAGTCTAATATGAATATATACATTTTCTCCCTTATCAGATCCTATTTTCCAGTAGCCGTAATTACAGTGCATTCTGAAAGTACACCATCATAACCCCCTGGTGAATTGTCCTAGCGAAGTCTCTAAGCGAGGCGTGAGCGGCGCATTGGTCGTCATAATACTTCATATCCTCTTCCGTTGCGAACGTGGTGTACGCGGCGAGCGTGTAGCCCTGGTTTCGTGCATCGTCGAACGTCGGCCCAACAGTTGCAGATAGGATGTATGGCTTTCCGTCCTTAACGGCTCGAGTGGGCATCGTGCGGTAGATTTCGATAAGGCGATTCCGGTCTTCCTCGGAAGGGATTTTGAAAAGGGTGACGCGGTTGATGGGTTGAGTGGACATGGCTTCAGGTAGTTGTCTGCTCTTGTGCTGACTGGATTGAGTCGAAATAGATGTATAGCTTATACTGTAGAAATATAGGGTCTTTCCTATAGTGAAACAGATGGTGGTGATGGCGGCGTTTGCGAGTTGGTAGTGAGACAAGCTTAGAGGGCAAGGTGCTTGTGGTTTATGGGGTAATCGTTGAAGTTGGGGCTTTAAGTTGGACAGACATTGAAAGTCCTCAGGTCGGGGTTAATGCGGAGGTGATCGATCCACTAACCCTGTGACGTTGTGTTCGGAACTTTCAACGTAGCACGTACCAGACAATGGCTGGCGCCGGCTAGCGTCATCGGAATTTCCAGACAGGTTCTGGTGCTGATCGGATGAACCGCCTAACCCCCGGCTTCTTAGAGCCGAATTTGGTCGTTGTCTACAAAAGTTGGAACACAGATATTGTTCCCATTGTCGAAGTGAGTGAGGCAATCAAATCCCATCGAAACGAAGCCTCTGGGAAAGAATATACTCCATCATAACATCTGCTTCATTATTTTCCTTTTTTTTTCATGACTCTAGGTAGGAGGGGACATCTCCATCTCGGGACCTCCACGGCGGCGGAAAGTCCGCGGGTCCTCGAAATCACGCTCGGAAGTGGGCGGAATCCCATTCCGCGAACCGCAACTATCCGAGTCGAGTCCCCCGAGAAGCGGTCTGCGGTAAATAATTTCTTCCAAAGTGAAATCTATGACAACCAAGGCGACGGGGCACTCCCTTGCCCCGACAAAAGATGTGATATCGCCACCAGACGTAAAACCGGAGAGAAAGGAAAGAGGATAAACACCCCGACATCCCATATTCATAGCACCGCAAAGAGCTATGTTTGGTTTGTTGACCCCCAAAATGATGCCGCCACCTTCCGGGCGATAGGACAGCTGGTGTGGCTATCTCGTACATGATAGAGACTGCGAGAAATAGTGTCCCCCTACCCTCGAGCCGGCCAGCAGCTGCGAGTTATATGACGATAGCATCAACCACCTTTACGGCCAACAGGACTCAGTCAGCAAAATCTCGGGTCGGGGTCCCAACTCCCAAGGTGACTCGCAGGTTGGATGATAGGGTGCAGTAGCGTTATTGATATAGCATCTCGCTCCAGAACGAAACAGCTCGGCGCACTGGTGGCAACGGGAATCATCAGCCCCGGACTCGAATAGACAGGCATCCCAGCTCTACAACCCCACGCAGATTGCAACTGCATTCGCCCTTGGATAAAATGCCCCTTTGTACGCGATATTAAGCCGAGTGGTGAAACCGCCTTGATGTGGTGGAAAGAACTGCACTATCAAAACGAAAGGTTTGGGATAGGGCAAATGTTAAGGTTAAGATGTTCTTGGGATCTGTGTTGGTCCCGAATTTAACAATGTCCCGTTGGATAAAGGGAGTGCCGAGGCCAGTGCCCGGACAGTGGCAAGACCAACAGGCAGACTGTCAGATTTGATCTCCAGCTCCGAATATCTCCCCGATACACTTTCCAAGTCGTTTCCAGAAGCAGTGTACCGAACTCCGGCTATCTCCCCGACCACTCTACATTGCGGGGTTTGTAAGCTTCGAGATGCTCGGCACTAACGTCTCCTCCCAACCCATCACCCCGAAAAGTGGCAGAGGGTTCGGAGATGAAATCTATCTGAGGCGTGGAGCTGGCGTCCTCGGTGTTGAAGGCGTCTATTAACCACGCTTTCTATCCTCGGGGAGTGATTGCGACTGGATATTACCTCCCCGATCATGGCACAAGTCCCGTCCATCGAGATCAGTATAAATAAATAATGGAAACTACGCTCATCACATTTATCACATTAAAAAAGTAAAGAGCCGTTCAAGTTTTCTATCTCAGCAGAACGTACTGTTCACATTCATTCATCAGTGACCGCCATGATGGCTCGCCAACAGGACAACACACAGAAACGCTCGTCTAAAGATTTCGAGATCGCTATCGTGGGTGGCGGAATTGCCGGTTTAACTCTCGCAATCGCTCTCTATCAGCGGAACATCCCGTTTAAAATATACGAGAGGGCACCACGGTTCCAGGAGATCGGCGCCGGTGTGTCCTTCAGCCCAAATGCGATACAGGCGATGAAATGTTGCCACCAAGGTATATTCGATGCCTTCGAGAGAGTCTGCACCCGCAACGGTTGGCCCTCGAAGCAAAAGGTCTGGTTTGACTACGTCGACGGTACCAACGATGAAAACCAAGAGCCAGTCTTCTCCATCTACACTGATCTCGGCCAAAATGGTGTTCATCGGGCCCACTTCTTGGACGAGTTGGCCAAGCTCATCCCCGAGAGTACTGCTGTTTTCGGGAAGGAACTCAAGGACATCAGCGAGGGAGTCGACGGCAAGGTGGTTATGACATTCGCAGATGGCAGCAGTGCGTCCGCTGATGCTGTTATTGGATGTGATGGGATTAAATCTCGGGTCCGAGAGATTGTTGTTGGAGCCTCCCACCCGTCGGCACATCCATCTTACAGTTACAAATACGCATATCGCGGCTTGCTGTCGATGGAAAAGGCCATTGAGGCCCTAGGCGAGGAGAGAGCGCGGAATGCATGCATGCATGTGAGTTGCATAGCGCCGTATCCCCAGCCCAGAGTCTTGGTCTGGATGTCAGAGACGATGCTAACTTCTTCAAGATGGGCCCGGATGGTCACGTACTTACCTTCCCTATCGCCCATGGTACGAAGTTGAACGTCGTGGCATTCCGTACAACCTCCGATAATTGGGATTACGACAGAAACACCAAGCCCTCCAGCCGGGAGGCTGCGCTTCGCGATTTTGCGGGCTTTGGTAAAGCCGTCACCAGGATCATTGAGCTCACCGAAGAAGAGCCTACTGTGGTATGTCCCAACCCTTTGTCTTCCGTTTTCTGCCCTAGCCAGTCACAGACGTGATTGCAGAGAGCGCAGGGGCTGATCCGGTATGAATTATATAGTGGGCAATTTTTGATCTGGGAGATTACCCTGTCCCGACCTTTTATAAAGGCCGCGTCTGCATCTCAGGAGACGCCGCTCATGCCACATCGCCACATCACGGTGCCGGAGCTGGATTCTGCATCGAGGATACCGCTGTTCTGGCGGAACTACTCAAAGACGAACACGTCAGAAATCCCACAGATCTGGAGGCTGTGTTTGCAGCATTCGATGCGGCTCGAAGAGAGAGGTGTCAGTGGCTGGTCCAGAGCAGCAGACGGATAGGGGATTGTTACGAGTGGCGAGCCACGGGAGTTGGCAGAGATTTCAAAAAGATTGAGGAGGAAATCAACGAAAGGATGGGTATCATCTCTAGTTTGGATATTCATGAGGCCTGCGAGCAAGCAAGGGAGTACCTCAAAAGGAACCTGGCTTAGAAGACCACACAGGGCTCGTTTTCATATCACATTTAAGACGATCAGAATAGGGTCCAAGTTGTGTTATATCGAGGTGAACCTATATGCGACACGTGGATGTAGAACATGGCAAGCGAAGATTTCCTATTATTGGAGCTCCAGCCAGTCGAAGTTATGAGGGACGTCTTGGTTGAGCCATATCCCAAGAGCAGACTCTCCACCCAATAGGTCGAGTCCTATCAAGTCCGTAGATGTTGTTTGGTGTAGCGTTTGGGTAGTCGGCGATGAGTTCACCTGGGCCGAATCGGGCATGCCTATAAAACGGTTTGTCTGTCAGGGCCGAGAACACATAGCAGGATGGACCCAGGAGGATGAGTCTTGCCTTGTCTCCCTTCAAGGTTCATGCGACTTCTAAACTCTTTTAGCGCTGGGATAGCACGCTCAGCTGCTTGAATCTCGTCCTTGTAATGCTCCAGGATGAAGAGACAACGATTCCACGACACGTCAAAGGAACAGCGAACAGTTTCAGCATCCACAGCCGGACAGATCTGAGCAGCTAAAAGAACGATGGCAGAAGCAAACGTAACTATTGAACTCGTTAGTGAATGGCTAGCATCGCTTCGGTCTAGAGAGGAGCTTGTACAATATACGGAATGCCATCCTGAACTTGTGTAACTAGTGTCTAAGTTCTGGTGAATAGCGTCGACTAGACGAAATGCTGTAGTAACGCAAAGAGTACAGAACCGTTTAACCAAGCCCGTGTCGAGAGTTTCAAAGCCTTCGGCAGAGGACGGCGATATGAATTTCGACGGAAATTTGGTTGCCAGAAGCAATAGTGGCCGTAGTAAAAGCACGCGAGTATATAGATATCTAGTCCACCAAGTTGGCATATTAGTTACTTTGCTCGACGGAACCGAAATCTTACCTGCAGTGCAGAACCTGTTGTTGGATTTTGACGCTCGGCATCCATCCATCTCGTGATTCCGGTTCGCTCGCGATACGTAAATACGTTGGAATTGACTCAAGAAATTGTTCGAGGCGTCGATTCAAGGTCATAACGTCCGATATGATTTCTTCCACACTACACTCAGCTTCGGACATAGCATCGACGTTGTTCTGTGGATGCGGAGCGTAAAGGCGCAACAGGATGTCGTCTAAAATAAGAAACAATTTGGAAGACCAGGTACACAACCCTAGTCTTGAAGGTGTATCTGGAGGCTGATTCCCTTCCCCTTCGGTGCGTAAGTATTCGTCGTCGATTAAAGATGGAAAGGGAACATTCCATGTGGTGGATATCATGGCCGGCCTTCCAAACGTCATGCTGAGCAGCCTGTGAGATATTTAGAATTTCCTCTTCCCTTCCACCCAGTTAGATGGCGAGGAGGTTTCTTACTTATCCAACGCCAGGCATGTATGCCAGATTCTGCGCCTCATCTCTCGTCTTATTTGGCTCTGTGGTCGGGGTTCAGACAAGTCGACATGTAAGCCCAGGGTCTGCGCGACGCGAATTGCGAGGCCAACGACATTCCAACAGCGGTTTGCTTGATGAGTGGACTGCAGGTAGACGCCAGTCAAGAGCAGCATTTGCACCAACGGAAGCGACATGGAGTCAAGCATTTCAAAACGGTAAATCGCTCTCGACCGCTGATAAAAGCTATGGGCGAGAGACGCTCTCTGCGTGGCGGGTACGGACTTGCTGAACTTGCACCCAAGGGCAAAAACAATATTTAGAGTCGAGACGAAGATGGTCTCGTCTACCTCCGCCGTGGGATCGTCGTCTGCGTCATCTCCCCTCGCATGCCACAGGAGTTCGTATCTTTTCATAAAGGATGTCTGATGCAAGACCGGAAAGACTGGGTGCAAATACTCCCAGAAACACTGGATTAAGTCGTCGGCGGTCTTCCGCGGGGGAAAGACCCAGGCCAAGGGATCCTTGTCGCGAATAGCCTCCGGAAGGGCATTGGGTTGTTGGCTGCTCCCAAGCAGATGCCCTGGCCCACCTCTAACCCGAGAAGCAGCGACGTCTAAGGCTACTGCACGTTTCCGATGCGCTTCGTGGTGGTAAAATTTCACGAATGCGATTGTCGAGGATGCTCCGTACAAGCATTCACTCTCTTCAATGGACGAAATAGTCGCCAACCCATCGACCTCATCGGTGTTACAGCTTACGGATGGTGAATGTTCAGCAGATGGTGAGGCCAGCAGATCGGAAGGCGGATGTGAGTCGTCGAGGGACGTAAAGTTCGGGTGGCGAGTATTTCGAAGGCGCCCACTTTTCGGGCTTCGAGAATGCTCCCCTGAAACTAATAAAAATGTCAATGTGCATTGCACGAAATCAACGTGACGTTGTGTGTCTTAGCCTTAGGGAATACAAGAACTCATACTATGCCGACTTTGCTCAAGTCTCTGAAGTCGTTGTTCAATAGTCGAGAGGTAGCTTCGGGAATTGGATGTCAGAGCGGGTCGCTCGCCATGTAGATAGAAGAGGGCAGCTGTGGCCAGGTTACCTGATGGAAGCGGTATGATCATCGTAAACACAATCTATTGCGACTCCGCGCCTATGACACGTTGAGCAGGCCGGCCGGCGGCCATCGCATCTCGTCTTGCGGTCTTGGCAGCTCTTGCAGGCAGTCTGAATTCTGCGACGCCGGCCTTGACTCCGTCTTACTCCCCTCTGGCTTTCGGAAGAAGGCGTCGGCAACGCGGGCGTTGAGGGCTGGTCCTCCATCCTCCCGAGCTGGGCTAAGGGTTAAAAATCAAAAAAAGAATGGGGGGAAACGATATACGGCGCATGTACGTCAGTGAAGTAGGCGAAGCGACAAAAGAAATGCAGGGCATTGGTTTTAGAGACGTAAGGCGATGCCGGAGAGGACTGTCAAGAGGAGCCGAAGGATGTAAACCGTCCCCGAAGCCGAATTGCCATTGATAACCCCCCGCATTTCTCGGATAGCGGGTTGTGGGGTGCATCAAACGCTAACTAATCGCCTGCTACGAAGTAGTGTAAACCACTTCGTGGTGTAGCGCCCCATGCCATGTCTATCATCCTGTGATGGTCACAGCCAATATTGATCGTGAGGAAAGGTGGGCTATTCCCCCGGAACATCTATTGAACTGGCAAGTCGGAACAGCTCACAAAAGAACGCAGCAAAACATTATACAGAGGCATAGCAGAATCCATGTCGTAGTTGATGTTACAGAACTGAGGATACCGACCGCGCTTGACCCGACCCGTCTTGTTGGCAATAGTTAAACTCAATACCGCCACGCGGGCTCTCACGTCAAGCCATCAATTTGGAAACCTCTATCGCAGGAGATGTGGCGTTACTCACCACGACGAGGTAGGTGTCTAACAGACTAGTGACGGTGACCGGACCGTTTCGACTCTCATAAAGTTGACGGATATATTTGCGTCCGAGGTGGGGTTCTTTTGCGCCATGATTACGTTCCTCCCGCCTCCATCAGTGGCCGACTGACTGATAACGGCAAGATTCGGCGACGAACCTTCCTACATTTGTGCATTTCTAACGGGGGTTTCCCAATGTGGATTAAAAAAAAAAAAAAAAAAAAAATAGAATGATTCGATAAATAAGGAGTCAAGATAAAAATAATAATAATTAAAACCCGAAGAATGAGCCAGGGACGCAAAAAGTAAGGAAGTAGGTTTACTAGGTCTAACCAGGATTCGAACCTGGGCTTACGGAACTCTCGATATTGTATCAGAATCCGACGTCCTAACCAACTAGACCATTAGACCTTGCTGATTGCGTGGTAGCGCAACGTGGAAACTTGCCTTGTATCTGAACCGGACTTGCTCGTGAAAACGCATTGAACAGTTAGAAGTGGAAATCAATGGTCGAGTTCGAAGAAAAGAGCCTTGTAATGTATTTGTCGACGCTACATGTAGGCTTTCTAGTTTGGTCTTGCTGAAGGGGGGGGTTGAGGTATTGTCTTCGACGAATACCGCCAGGCCTGGCTGATGCAGCACTGCAGAACCTTGCGTGAGCAGTGAGCAGTCGTTCTCTTACATGCCTTCAAGATGCAGGTGCGTTTACTTCATATTATCTTCGAAGGGCAACCTCAAACTGTATATCATTCTGAGCTCCTCCCAGTTTCTTCTAGCTTCTCACTCTTTCTTGACATTGTGGTATGCGAGACTTGCAAGGAGAATGTCTTAACTAGAGTTTGATAGATGCTGTTAGGGATCTATCCAAGGAGGGTGGTCAAGACGCAGCTGCCTCTGTTTGGCATTTTTTTTACGACACAAATTATGCCTTCTATTGGGTTGCCCCTTTATTTTGAACTTCTGAAGATTTTCAGATCGATTTCAAGGGGACCGATTTAAGGTTGGTATGCAGCATGGGTCTGAAGTGGTGGGGCAGGCGGGCGGTCAAAGTCTGACCGTGGGGTCGCTTCACTGGGATTTTCTGCCGCATTTTCTGCCGCCTCTCAAAGAAAAAAAAAATCGGCAAGCTCAACATTGTCATTTTGCTTCAATCATCTCTCGACACCCTGCAAGAATTCTTCATCCCGACCGCCAATTGTGCTATTCCCGGCGTAGCCTCGAGGCCGCACACAATGGGGTCTGTCGTTCTTTCCAATGAGTGGGCTGGCTTCAAGCTGCCCTCGGGTGCCGTCAAGGTCATCCAAGTTATCCCCAACACGTACGATCAAGTCCTCCTCTCTCTACGGTTCCCTGCGCCCTTCTGAACCAAGTATCGCTGACTCTTTCAATTACTTTAGTATCATTTCCCTAGGGAAATACGGCTCATTTCCAAGTAACCTCGTCATCGACCGACCCTACCACCTCACCTACGAAGTCCAAGACAAACGCCCCGACGAAACCTTTTGCCGCCTGCGAATCGTGCCCGCCCACGAGCTCCGCGCCGATATCCTCGCAGACGTAAAGTCGAAGGATGCCCCCGAGAACGGCGCTGACGGCGAACTCGACGAGGAGGAAGCCAACGCCGCGATTGCCCTGGCCGCTAGTATCGTAGCCCAAGATGATGCGGCCGCGCTCGCGGCATCTGCTTCGACGGACAAGGTTGTGCGGCAGACGCTGACGGCGGATGAGATTGAGGCGCTGAAGCGCGACGGAACGTCAGCTGGAAAGGACCTTATCGCGAAACTTTTATCGTCCCATACGGCGCTCGACGAGAAGACGGCTTACTCGCTCGAGAAATACAAGCTGCTCAAGACGAAAAAATATATCCGGCGCTTCGAGGTCTTACCGCTCGATACCCCGCTACTTACGCGTTGGCTCCTGGAGGATAGAGATGGCATGAAGATTCTGGAGCTGAGGGAAGAGATGCTGGCCCTTTTAGGCTGCTGGGCGAATATCCACTGTGCTGCCGCGGATGAGCCAGAGGTTATTACTGCGGAGAAGGCGGGACTTCCGAGTGGTATGAAGGCTCCCGAGCTCACGGGTGGAAGGTGGCTTGTAGTTGATGATACAGGAGGTCTACTTGTGGCTGCCATGGCAGAGCGGATGGGAATATTACATCCTCATCGACCCACAAAGAAGATACAACAGCAACGGCAGGCCAAGGCAGATTCGGCAGAGAACAACTCGACCCAGCAGACCAACACAAACCAGAATAGAGAGGAGAATGCGCCGGCGGATGTGGATACGGCCATGGCCGATGCGATCGAGGTCAGCAAGCCGGAAGCAGACGGTGCTGAGCTTGCCGGCGAGCAGAAGATCCCAGAAACCGAAACAGCACCTACGGAACTCAACGCGGAGGCGGAGGCGAGCAAGGAATCTGCAGAAACAAAAAGGAAGGCCGAGAAGTCTCGGCCCCGTCCCTACGATCGTGACGATCTAGAAATTCCCTATGCGGGCTGCAATACCATGACTCTCATCCACTCCAACAGCCAACCTAACCTCTCCTTCCTCAAATACTACGACTTCAACTTCGCCGCCCCCAACCCTCCCTTCGCCTCCCACCCCCTCCACACGAATCTCCTCTGGCTCAACTGGCTCCAGCTTCTCGAGCCCGACAAGGACGCCATATACGCCACGGAACCTCCCGCCGTCTCCCCCGACGAGCTGCAGACGTGGAAGGGCAACCGCAGGGGTGTATACCACCGAAAGCGCAGACGCTGGGCCCGCACCCGGTTTATCGTCGACTCGACCCGCGCTGGCGGCTTCTCCGGCCTCGTGACGGCCTCCACCCTCGACCCCATATCTCTTCTCAGACATACCCTTCCACTGTTGGCCCCCGGAGCGCCCATCGCCATTTACTCCCAAAGTGTGGAGCCGCTCACGCAGCTTGCGGATTGCTTCAGCGTAGCGCGGCGAGCGGCTTGGGCTACGGATCCACCTCCCGAGGCGGAGGGCCAGACGCCCGAGGAACTGGAGAGATGGCCTGGTTCAGAGGATTTCCCCATCAACCCCGGCTTGTTGTTGGGGACTACCGTGCAGACGAGTAGGGTGAGGCAGTGGCAGGTGCTTCCCGGTCGGACGCATCCGCACATGACGAGTCGTGGAGGTTCGGAAGGGTACATATTTACGGCGTGGAAGGCGTTGCCTGCTGTAGGGAGAGTGGAGGCCAGGGGGAGGCATAAGAGGAGGAAGACTACCGCTGCGGTAGCGACGCCGACGTCGGCGGAGGGTTGATTCTACAGTGAATCAACGTGATTGTTTGCGTCACGGCTCATCATGGCATTATGATAGATAAAAGGCACAATGGCCCGGAGCATGACTTCTGCACGTAGTCAATGATTAAGGCGAAAAGAAAGACATCCGGAGTCCAACTGAAAATGTGTTGTTATGCCCATTCGTGACAGCAGAACTCCTCGGTACCCCGCACTCCTTTTGCTACTAGATATTTTGTTTCTTTCTACCCGTCTATAGAGACTTGCCCATAAACTTCCTCTTGGTAAAGCTCAGCCACCACTTGCTAGGTCGTCCATCACCGCCATCCTCATACACCCTCGCAAGTAACCTCGTCGCCAGTTCCTGTCGAACTTGGGACAAGTACTGACGTAGCAGTTCAGCATCCTGTCGGTCCCTAGGAGGCTCATACATCTATCAGGTGGTCCTGTTAGCCCCCAACGTGTCGAGAGAAGAAAAAAAAAGAATCCTCATCCTCCTAGATATAGCCCCCAGCCCTAACCTACCTGATTCAAAGGCCAACCAGGATCACCCGGAATAGCAAAATTAAGATCCAGCGCCAAATTCATAACATCCTTCGTCGCCTCCCTCACCGACGCCGTCGGCTTAATCTTGGTCAGGCAATCACTAACGAACCAAATGCCGTACACGAGCAGACGGTCGGCGGCACCCTGGATCTCGAAGTTGCGGAAGAAGGTGTTGGCGCGGAAGACGGCGAGGACCTCGTCGAGGATGTCGTAGGATTCGCTGTCCGGGTCGGGGGACTCGGAGGCGGGGAGCGGCGGGGAGGGGATGGGGAGGGTGTAGGCTGGGCCGCGGGTCTTGGTGCGCAGGGGGAGGAGGGGGAAGTTGCCTATTAGACGGGGAGGGTTGGGGTCGGCGTTGAAGATGGAGTTGTAGGCCTGTTTGCGACTTGGGTCAGCAGGGTCAACGAGTAGGGAGCTAGGGGGAGGATCAAGGATGAGGTGCATAGGAGAGCTTCGAGGAAGAGCTTCGAGGTTAGGGAGAAGGGCGGCTGACCGGCATGGTGGGGGGCCTTTGATGTTTAGGGAGCCCTAGAACGGCGGTTTTTTTGGTTATACCGGTGTGGGAGATCTCCCTCCTCTTCGAATGGCGGGACAGAACTGTCTTCCAGGCAATGACGAATTGGCGATTGACGATGCGGAGCAGTATGAGGAGTGGTGGGGCAGCAGCGCAACTGCCAAGCTCGGAGGTCTAGGCAAGCCACAGATCCCGTTGGTGCCCCGCCACCCTTGCCACAGGAGAAAGCAAGGTCACGTGAGGATGGAAATACCTAGCAAGCCACCCTTTTCATCCACCAAGTTGAGTCAGGAGGATCGCCACAGCCCCATTCAGGCTGAAAAGGGAGGGTATACATGGTACTTGAGGTAATAATAAATACGTAAACTAGATTAGTATCTGTACGGACCAATCGCTCCGAATGTAACCGATTGGTGCCTAGAGCCCGGATACATCGCGATCTCACGGAGGAAAGAGCAGCTGACTTCGTGGTCTGGTCGCGCAAAGTTTTGGGGTACCCGTGTCACGGTTGGGGCCTTGATGGTCGCGCCAAGGGCGTGGACATTCCCATCCACCCCTTCCTCGAGTAAGGAGGGTGGGCAGAAGAGAAGGAAAGAGGGTCCGGAGGCTCCATTCTTCGTACGAGATTGGTAGCTGGAGAGGCAACTGCGTTCATCGTCTCTCGCAGTGGCTGCCAATAACGCTCATGCTCTCATGTCCTGCTCACTTTCTTCGTAGTCGCACGCCCCCCGCTCCCCAAAGGGCATAATAACCTAAAAGAACATTGAAACCTTATGGATTCCTGATATTCCTGCTCGAGTAGTTATAAGGACGTTTCATCTTCGATCTCCCCGATTCTCCTTTTCCTCTCATTAAACATTGCATCGTTCCTGCGTCCATCTGTTCACCGAGCGAAACAGCTCAGCGAGTCCAGTGTTCGGGCGTGAATTACGTTCCAGGTCACGGTGAAACCCCTCGCATCAATCAATCAAATTTTGTTTTCTGAGTAGGTCAAGTCTGTGCTGTGTGTGATTTGTTGATTCCCCCCCAAACAATGAAACCCCACTGACGCGCTCTGCTTTGTTCACCGTCCTAGAACCCTGTGTCGGTCGCGACCTCTTCACCAAAGGGGTTCTTTCACTCACATTTTCGATTTTGGTCCATACCAAGATTTCTTTTGACAAGCAAAGCCGCGCTTGGATTTTTCTCTCTCCGCTGTCTCTTTATTCGACTCGTTTGTCCTCAGTCGAATTCGTCCAGTGCTTTTCGCCCTGACTCTGAGACAAAACCGGCGCAACAACGAGGCTGTTACAGTTACACAACTGAGCACCGCCGCCAACAACAAACCCTTCTCCTCAACCCAAGCTCGCCCCAACAACCCGATGTTGGCGTTAGAGTAAGAAAGCCCGATTCCACTAGCCATCGCGATTGCCTCCTGCAAAATATTGGTCGCGACCTGGAAGTCTGAGTCGCACCTTCTCGCGTCCCCTCTGTGACGAGGCGTGGAACATCAAGTTTGTGATCTGCGCCTGCCCTAATTGTACCTGATAAACAGGAAGGAGTGACACACTCCTCAGATCGTCATCAAATACCACCCCTTTCGCCTCACTCTTCCCAGCTCCCCAGCCCGGTGGTAATCCGTCCCTCAAGCTCGACGCCCCGGCCCATGATTCAATTTAATTCATCTTTCCCCGTCCTTCTACAGAAACGGGGATTCTGTGCTAAGCGCTAACGCGTCAATTATCGAATCTAGTTCAGTCTTCCACTATAGCAGTGTCTTCGGTCAGATCCGGAGCCTTGTTATGGTGCCCACCATGGTTGAGGATGATCACACAACCTTCAGAGAGAAGGATTCCGGCGCGATACGAGCCCAAGCCTCCAGCGACACCAGCGCGCAAGATACGACAGAATTCACCGAAGCAGCCGCGGACAACGTTGACTCTCCAGCTGCAGAGTCGCCAATCATTCCTCGCAGCATCGCGACCGAATCTTCCAACACCCAAATGAACGCTGACAACGACGATGCGTCGGAAGATACGGCCCAGCCCGACTCGACAATAGAGGAAGCTGTTGTTGAGACTTCGGACGCGCCAACCGAATTCCCTGCGATAGACGATCTCCCGCCTAATGCTCCTCCCTCGCCTCACCAGTCGGCTCCAGCACAAACGACATGCGCCGCAAACTCGTCTCAATCCGCGCATTCAACGTCTCCCAGCCAGCGCGCCAATAAGAGATCGAGGCGCCACCATTACACCCTCGTCGAGCAAGGATCTCTGTACGACATCATGCATGAGAACTCCGGCGTCGCCCTCTTCATCCGACCCATCGCGTGGACCGATAAGCACAACTCCGCGCTCAACGTCAAGTGGATAGATCGCCCCAAGATCGTATCCCCTTCTCCCGATCCCAACGCCACGCGGGATCCCCGGCGGAAACTTGCCGCAGCTGCGTATATTCTCTGCAAGGAGCTCTCGGCCATGTTTTCCGACTCATCCCAGCCTTTCTACAGCATCTTTTCTATCCGGGAAGTCATGTCCCGACTTTACCCCGACAGTATCTTCCCAACATCTAGAGGAGAGGCCTGCCCAGAGATGCGGCTATGGTTCGGTAGTCGCGTGCACAGAGATGCGATCCGCGTCCAATGCCTTTGGAGGTGGCCTTACCCCGAGCTCCCGGTGGAAAGCCAATATTCCGATGGACTAGAGTCTTTCCAAACGGAGTCTACCCAACCCGCCAAGTCAAGCGGCGCACCGCCCGCTGGTGCGACAGATGTCCCCGCGCATTGCGGAAAGCCTATGCTTGCATACATTGGTCGGAAGCAGCTCTCTTCAATCCGAGCCAGTATTTACCGAATTGCTCTCGGTCCGGGTAGAACCCCGAACGAGCCAGTGTCCCGGTTACAAAAGCTACGGTCCAAGCTTCTCATCCCCGCAAACGCCGACTACGACCCCCACCTAGTCGCCGTGCTGCTCGCCATGGCGCAGGATCACATCTATCCCCACACCGTAACGCCGTACGTGGTCCGGGGCGGCATCGCGCCACTCGTCAATTATACGCCGGAGTTCCGTGACGTCACGGTGCGGCTCATCAGCACCGACAACGCCAAGGCCGAGTTTGTCATTTACACGGCCACGTTTACGGCCGACTACCTCCGCCAGTTCCACTACCCTCACAAGGCCTTCCCTCAGAAGACAGACGACGGTCAGACTGCGTTGCGTCCCGACTTGAACATTGAGGTGACCAAGGTGCCTACGTGGCCCATCATCGGCCTTCGGGAGCGCTTGGGCCAGGCTCTTGGCGAGGAGGTTGTGGGTTCCTTTGATGTTGATGATCCCGAGACGTGGGAAAGGCAGAAGTTTGAGGAGGAGCTTGAGGCCGAGGAGGCCCAGGAAGAGCCCCCAGTAGAGACGAAGCGGAGACGGGATCGCCCTTCGTTCTTTAATGGAAACTTCGAGGAGGAATTCCCCGAGCCGCAGAGAAATGGCAAGAGGAGGCGATTAAGCAGCAACCAGGTTGAAGTGGTGATGTAGTCATTTCTCTAGCTGTTTCTTTTCTTTTTCTCGTTACCATTTCTCTTCTGCATTCGGTCGGCGTATCGGGATTCGGATTCTCTTCTACTGTTCATATTTTTTTTTCCCCTAATCACGGCCTCTATGATCGATTTCTTGCCTCCAGGGGCTGTAACTCTTCTATACCATGGGCATATTTTGCATGGGCTCTGTGTCGGCAGAAGCCAAGGCAGATGTACAAATGGCATGTTAGGGGAGCATTTCTAGTATTGGAACGGCTTGGAAGGGGACGGCGGATATGGAGCACAGGGTAGATGGGTGGCTTTTGCTTTTGGCTTCTGGTTTTTCGACTTGATTTCTCTTACGAGGTAGTCTGGCTAGCGAGGTTTACGAGGTAACGGCGCAAAGGGTAGACGGAAAGTCAAGATCAATGGCTTCACGGATGGTTATGGAAGTGGAAATGATGGACTGATGGACCGATGGCGGCTTGATTTCGGGAGGGCGGACTGTTTGAAACGAGGACTTTTGCTAGCTCGTGAATATATTTTGACCGCCAATGCAAGTTTCCCTAATTTCTTTCTCTGTGTACTAATTCTCCGTGAATGTTTGCAGCCTGCATATGGGCTGAGCGTCTCTCAGGCCGAAGAGGTCTCCTTGCAGGCAGCCACGATCTCGTCTCGGTCTCGTTCGGATGATGAGTATTACCTCCCGAACCAAAAGGGATGAAACTCTGCCGAGCTTACAATCACACTGGATCACTCGAAATACGAACGTGATACGAACATGCGATTCGGATGACATCGAGCAACTTCCTCCATTTGCCTTCCCCAAGATGGAAGTCGGCCGAGTTCGGGAGGGTAGGACGAATAGTCATGGAGTAGCAGTAGGGCAGCAAAAAGAGGGGAAGTCGATGCTTAGCCACGATCTTGAACTGAGTTGATTGAATTACGAACATCGTGAGCTTCAAGACAACAGTAACCGTAGTATTTCAGAAATAGCGGTGCAGGGTGCGGAGAGCTTTTGCTGTGCGAGGATTCGTGATTGCTTCAGACCACATCTTTTCTGTCTATGGATGCCAAGCGCGGGGTCAGAATGTCAAGTATGTGCCGATGGAGAAGAGGGATTAATGGCACCTGCTAAGATCCAGCATCCAACCACCAAGTATTGATTTTACGCTCTTGGTCGAGAGATATCGTAAGTGAGGTGTGAGGTGTGCAAGCTCGGGAAAGTCGGGAATTGGTCAGCGATGGGAAGCGCGTCGATCATCGTCGGCCACATGGTCGAATCAGGGACTTATCGCCGAAAAGGTGGGGGAGATCCCACTAGAAGAGAGAGGCTTTGCAGTTCTTGTTCTGGGGTTGGTCCTGTGCCTGGGCAGCCCTGGAGCTGGAACGGGAGTGGGTTCAGGCAAGGCACCAAGCTCTCGAGTTGGTTCTCTTTTT